AATCATATTTATAATCACAAATAAATACATTTATCCATTCAAGGTACAGCATTGCCCATGTGCACAGTCATCTAGGCTGACAGCAGTTTAAGCAGAATTTTCTTTTTCTCTTCCCCTAATCTTCCTGTTAAGTTGTCTTTCTCATTTGGTATCACACCCAGCTACTAGGCTACTCTAATCACCAGCTGATCCCTCTCCTGTTTTTAACAATTCCCTGAGATATGAGTTGTTCTGGAGTCTGGTCTGATTAAATTTGGGCAGGTGTAGTGTTTGAGAACATTCTTCGCAGTTTGTTCTGACCCCAGGAGTGCATTTCTTAACTCTCTCTTTTCCTGGTTCTCTTAAACTAGCTAGCCTACAGTTTAGCTTGTTGTCCTAATGGAACTACTGGTCTTCTTTTAAATTGCTTACCACAAAAATCTCCATTGTTTTAATAATAACCTTAGGCTTGAACTTCCTTACACTATTTCAAATAAAGTCAGCTCCTTGGAGAGAGCTTTATAGCTCTCTGGACCCATGGATTGATGTAGCATGACTGATTCCCTTTCAGCAGAATCTTTGAACCGCTGCTCTGGGCGCGGGGCAAGGATGGTAGCCTCTGGTCTCCTCACCTTCTCAGCTCGCCTTCCCGGGCAGGGAATCTCAGCACTTCAAGCAAGCTGGCCTGAGATCAGGGCCTCACTGTTCTCAGCCTCTCACAACCAGGATAGGGCCCCATTTATGAATGGGGGGGCTGGGTGGACGAAGGGAGCCCATGGCCTCTCAGCCACACTCACGGGGAAGGTAGCCTGTGAAACCTGGGGAGTTAGAAGGAATGAGAAATGCTGCTGGCCTGCTTTTGGTGAGATGCCATGTCCTTTGGATGTGTGCTGAGGAGAGAGGGAGTTGAATTCTCTTGGGCACATCCGCCCAGAGTTCAGAGTGTAGCATCTTTCTAGTCGAGCTGGGAGGAAGAGAGGGAGGAACAAGTCACAGCTCAAGGGCCAGAGACTCTTGTTCTTACCAACTTTTAGTAGATCTTCTTGAATAAATATTTTTTTCAGTCTCTGTATATTGTAGGATGATTTCTAGAAACTTTAAAAAATTGTTTTATTTTATTTTATTTTTTTAATGCAGTGTTTACCAATTATGTTTGTTTTGCTGGGGATAGGGTCCGTGGAGCTCCTCAGGTTGTCATTCTGGAAGTGGAACTCCCCGGAACTGTTCTTTTTAAAGATTGTGCCAAAGAAAATTCCTGGTTTCATCACATACTCTGAGCTTTCATCTCCTTATCTGAAATGGGGCTCATAATCTACACCACCCTTTCTAGGACATAGTAGCCCTAAATACCTGTTAATTACTGTTTTTCCCTTCTCTTATTTCACATTTGGGACTTAGAGAAGTTCTAGATGTATAAAGGTGCCCGCTCAAAATGCGTAGCTGTGCTTTAAGCATTTTAAGACTCCAAAGAAGTATTTCAAGTAAAGTGAGAAATATGTCTAAACACTATATAAAAAGTGATCTTCAGACCTGTACCAGGGTGCTGCTAGAAGTTTGGTTCCCGAGGAGCCACTTTAACAAGACCACATACAACAGGACTCGAGTTCGCTCATTTCTTCTCCCCTCTCCCTGCCCCCTCCCCTACTTCACTCTTCCCCCAAACAGTTCCCTCCTGCATTATAAACTTTCCCCAACATGTGAGAATTACTGAGCAGAAACTGAATGAATGAATAGTTAAAAAATAATAATATTCAATCAGTCTATATAAAGATTTGTAATTAGTTACCAGTATTCTTTCTGAGCTACATGTAGCCCTCTGGACCTTAAAACAACCCCTACATCTCTGTCTCTGTCTCTGTCTCTGTCTCTCTCTCTCTCTCTCTCTCTCTCTCTCTCTCCCCTCTTCTCTGTCTCTCTCTCTCAAGAAATGAAAATCTCATGAAGCCATTTCCAATGTCATTCCTTCAACAAAGATGCTTTAACTCCTAGGGTGTGTGTGGCATTCTTCTCCATACTTAGTGTCTGGTATGCATCCTAAAAGATGAAATGGGATTTGAAGAGCTTGCCAGTCAGCATATGTCTTACCAAAACATTATTGTCACATTTGCTCAATCTTTGTATAGCATATCTACCAACTCATCACTTAAAATGGTCAGGAGGAACAATGTGAATGTGACTCTGCTAAAGGCTGTAATATATAGTTACCTTTAACTCCACCTAGTACCAGCTTTAGAACTGACCAAGGACAAGAGGTGTATTATTTTCAGTTTCTCATAGAGGCAATGTTGAGCAGCCAAAATCCCTTAAAACTAATTCCTAAATGGCTACAAACTTTATGGACTTTTTAAAAGATCTAGAACCAATCAGCAATAAGTTATAACCAAGTAAAAAAGAGGATGAAGATGGCAAAAATCCAGACCTGAAAATTCTATTTAAAACCTAGCTTTCTTCTTTTAAATAAAGAAATCAGAGACTTGGGTTAGAATTTTAAAAACAAACAATTTTTTTTAACCTGAATCTAGGAGAACTTTATGTAGTTCGGATTGTGAAATGAAAATTCCATTATTTGGTTGAGCAGGTGCACTGAATCCTTACAACATGAAATATTAGCAAGACATATTCCTACATTCAAGAAATATCTTTTCATGAATAACTATAATGTTAGACAAAAAACATGTGATATAATAAAGGGTTTGAGAATGTCACAAGACAGAGAAGAAAGAGATTTATTCCTCTTAGAGGGGACTAGAAAAAGAAATGTCATCAGATCCAAAGCCAAGGAAGGGACAGAAATAGGGACACAATAAAACCAGCCCGAGTACATTACAGACTGGCTTTAGAGAACAGCCAGTAATTGCACCTGACTGGAGTACTAAGGAAAGGGAAATAGAGGTAGGCGATTTGCAATAGATCACAAGACCTCAAAATGTCACCAAGTGAGTTGGGAGCTTATTTTGAAGTTAACTGAAAACCATGGAGGGGTTTTGAAACAGGGAATAATAATCAAAAGTGTGTCTTAGAGATATTGTTCTGACACCCACATATAAAATAGATTATAAAATATCAAGCAGGAAGACCAATATAGAGGCTATTGTTGCATCAGGCCAGGTGGGCCGAAATTAAGCAGAATCAACGTAGGGGGTGGTTCTGTAAGCCTGAAACAGGAAGTAGAATTAAGGGGACAGATGCAAGAGACACTGTACTGAGGGCTTATTAGAACTTGGGAACTGACGACAGCAGTGAAAGAGGGAGCACATGATGCTTTGAAGTTTAATGTCTGTGCGCCACGGAGGTTGACAAAGTTCTGAAAAAGAGAAAGAAACAGAGAAAGATAAGGTTTGGTGAAAGAAGAAAAATGATACTTCATTTATTCAATAAATATTTATTGAAAAAATATATATATATATTTAATGAGCACTTACTGTGCGCCAGGCGCTGGGGGAATGAGACTTATCTGTAATTTTTAAAACACTCTATGTGGAAAGGTACTTCCCAGTCTGTGCGAGTCCAGAGGCTGAGCAGGAGCCAGTGAGGAGTCAGGCAGGAAGTACACAGAGGCTTCTGGATAAGTAGTAAGAGCTCTGTTACAGGCAGCATTCAAGCATAAACTGGATGATATTCTTCTAGGGACACTGTAACCAGGGATTCCTGTGTTAAGAGGGAGGCTAGACTAACCTTTCTGCAAGTTCTCTCCCAATCTTAAGCAAGTCTATTCTTCCTGATGACCTAGTCCTACGGGTTCTATTATTAATTTCTGGTTTCTCTCCATTATTAAATAAATTACTCAATCTGTCTGCCATTCAGTAAAACTCACACATTTACATCTGTTATTCTTGAATTATTTTTGGCTAGGGCTCTTCTGTACTAGAAAAAAAAATTCTACCCAGTAACATTACCTTTATAGCTAATTTAGAATGGTAACCCTGGCAGATCAGGTTATAAATATCAGAAAGGAAAAGGATTTCTTGTGCCTAATAATATTTTTGTTTGGAAGAAGCCGTGCAAATGAAAACTGAATTATCTTGACTTCAAAATTGCAGTGCAGTTTCTGTATTTTGCAGTAATTCAAAAGGAAAAAAATTTCTCAAAAGGTAAAAAAAATCTCAGAGAGGTTCATTTTGATACAGGCTGGTAAAGAAAAAGAGTAATTATTCTCCGAACCCTGTTAAGCTTTAGAAACATTTATCTATGCTGCATTTTAAAAAGAAGAAGAAAGGAAAGGGAAGAGAAAGAAAAAGGGAACCTGGCGTGAGCTCCGCTCTAAGCTATAGTTAAAGCTTTGCATTTCCTGGTGTCTTTTGAAACGTAAAATTCCACAACAAATAGCTCTGTAACGTATAACCAGTATGAAGACTCAATTCAGATTTAAGCCCTTTGGTTTGCTTTTGAATCTTGCTATTTTCTGCATTTGTTTTGACTGCTCTCATCACTCAAGATTGACGCTTGGATGGGTGTGTAGGAGGAAGCGGCAGCAGGCTTACAGCTTGCAGACAAAAAAAATCTGCCTTATCTGATGGCTATTATTGAAAATGCGAGGTGTAGCCTGGGCTGGGTAATGAAGGGGAGCGAGCGAGGGGGAGCAAGGAGCATGGAGCTGCATACTGATGAGTGTAGGAGTACTTGATAAAAAGAATTCTGGCTGCTGGCCGTGCACTGCTCGCTGTGGAGTACTCCAACAATCACACAGAACGCAGACCAGCCTAAGCTGACAGCTTGATATGTCTTCTTCTGCTGCCTGGTTTTGGGGGCTGTATGACGTACCGGTCGGTAGTAAAGATTAATATGTAAGAAATGTGGAGCTAGGATCAAGTCGTACTCCACAGCCTGCCTGGCAAACTATGTTTTACTTCTGACTTTGCTCTCTCGCTGAGAACATTAATCTGTCAAGCTGGCGGGCTCCTTTGATAGCAACTTTCCCAGGAGCATGATGTGGCAATGCCACCTCTCAGCCCAGGACTACCGCTATTACCCCGTGGACGGCTACTCCCTGCTTAAACGCTTCCCTCTTCATCCTCTTACAGGACCCAGATGCCCTGTCCAAACTGTGGGACAATGGTTGGAAAGCATTGGGCTACCTCAGTACGAGAACCACCTGATGGCTAATGGATTTGACAATGTGCAGTTTATGGTAAGACGCTCTCTGTGTCCCCGGAGCTGCCTTTTGTCTGTCTTTGCTTCTTATGTGTCTTACACTGCTCAGAGGCAGCCTGATTTGCACCAAAACTGGTCAATTTTATGTCTGTAACTGCATCAGAAAATCGGATGCCCTCAGGACTGAACTTGCCGTGTACATGTAGACACTTGCTGAAAAATGAGATCTATAGGCATCCATATACATATGTATTATATGAATGAACCGGTGAGAGTACTATTTATAGGCAGTGAAAGAAGATTAACATTTGTCCCTGTCATTCTTTGTGTGATTTTTATAAATTTGTAACCTCAGAATACCCAGTTGTATTATAGCACTTTTCAGTTAATTCTGGATTCCTAAGACATATTATTTCATTTGAGCATCAGCATTTAGTGATTACTTAGATAATTTGTTATGTTTACGATGTGCAGATCTTTTTTTTTCCTTGATAATTGTTCAATAAGCAGTTTAAATTGTGTGGACGATCTTTAGTTCATTAGCAAACTGCTTCAGACCGTCAGTTGTGGAGAGTATTCACTTATTTATACATGCTGACTGAGGAGCATGAAGTATTGTTTATTATTTTAGGTAGAAAACAAACACTCCCATCAATTAATTGTCAGTATTTAGACTGAGAGGCTGATGGACTAAGTACATTCTTGTACTTCTGAATACCGGTCTGCATGCAGTCTAAACCTTGTGTGTGCAAACTTCTCACTATGATGAATATAGGTGAGGAAGGAGGATGGGGAGATGTGCAGACCCATAATACAGCTTTCTAATCATTTACATACCTCCCCCAGTGCTCATCAGTTCCCCTTGTTAAGCTACGTCACAGTCCTTATTACCTTTCCTTGCTTTTAAGCTCCCATCACATATATTACTGATCCCTAAATTCAGAGAGAACTACAGAATATTGATTGGCATGTAGCACACAAGTGACTTGTAGAAATAATAGCTATTTCTAAATAAAATGCTGGGGCTGACACCTGCAGCTTAATACTACCAGAACTGAGAGCAAAACACTAAGAGCTAGTTATGTCTTTTTATTTCCATTTGAAATTATTTTTCTCCAAGCCTGTCTTGACTGTTGTACATTTGACAATTATTCAAACTGTTTAAACTTCTGCATCTTCTCCCATGAGCTTTTTTTAAAAAGATATGTAATTGTATAAAGACATATGAGCTCTAAGTAATTGTATATCCAGAACTCTTCATGAATCTGTTTCTTTTTTCATAATGAGAGATGCAGCTACTATTATTTCTCTCGTGCTTAAGAGTACAAGGTCACTGATGATGCAGACAATATACTGTGGGTATTGAAATAGGAAGAAAGTGAAATTTCTCTTGCTATGAGAGTCTTAGGACTCTGAGCGCAATTTAAGACAGACTTAGGACAGTAAACAGTGGACACTAAGAATTCGAGAACTATCGAACATAATGGAAGTCTTTTTGTGGTTATTTATATTTATTGCACATTTGGATAAGCTTTATTCTTTCTCCCTCTCTCTACCTGAGATAATACTTTCTCATTCCCACTCCTGAAACCCTTGCCTGAATTTATTCTGGCCCCATGAGAAGTTACGTAGGTCTTTGGATTCTGTGGATTATTTGGCCACTTGCAAAGATTTTAATTCAGCATAATTTTGTTCTGAATGTTAAATACTTTTGAGCACATATAATCCTTTTTTGAAAGCCTGAAACTGAAAGATTAATCAAACAGGTTTCAAATCAGCATTTAGAGATTATAAAAAAACATTCATGAATGAATTATGCATAAGCAACTAAAAAATATATCTGGGAGACAAAAATCCTGGACACATGTGATAAAACTAAGGTCTGATCTACTCCGTAGATTATTGTCTTTATTTTTCCAATTCCAAGTATTGTATATAATTTTCCAGAAAATAAGAAAACATAATTAACTCAGATGAGTCAATCAAATACTTTTGTCATGAGACAGAATCTTTTTTAAAAAACTTTGACTTATCATGTAGAGGAGTTAATTAATTATGAAGATGAAGCAAATCATAAAATGGTGTCATCAATTATTGCTTATATGCTGCTATACACCATTTATTTGGTATACAAAATCAATTTCTGTCTTAATAAAAATTATTTATTTATCTCCATAATCTAATTTATTTAATTATGAATTTAGTTAAAGTACTCTAATATTATCAGCCCACTTTAAGAAACAAATTTTATTAATGTGGTGAAAATCTGTTAGACCTGGTTCGTCTCCACTTGGTATCATATTGTAGCTTTTGTTTATCTTGAAGCGCATTCTGACCTGCATTTATTCATCCTGTTGCCTAAGCAACAAGCACCACACTCCTATTAACTATGATGTAGTGCAGGTCTTATTAGCTTTTTAGAACAAGACAGTAGAGACATCAAAAGGATATAATTAATGTTGATTGGAACATAGTATATCCAAGCATAGATATACTTCATTTAAGAAACATTCCCAAGAGTTAATTTCTCATTTAATCAATATTCCATTAATGCATGTCCGTTCTAAAGGGTCCATATAAGTAACTTTCAAAGTATTTATTGAAAGCATTAAAAAAATTTTTTTGCTAATTCTGTTCTACATACTCCCACATGTAAACACAATATATGGATGACTTGTACACATGGCCATGATTAACTTCAGTAAAAATTTCTGACATCAATTCCTAGGCATGGTTAGAAAAGAAGAATTTTTTTTATGTCTATCAATTATTACCATTTTTTTATGTCTATCAATCATTGCCATTCTTTTGGGCTCTTAATACATATCCTTGATTTTATTGATATGTGAATTTTTTTTCAATACTCTAAGTCAAAATTCCAAACTTTCCTTTATATATCTGATGCTGGTTTGTACAATAGTTGTACACAGTTTTGATGCTTCTGTATCCTAAAAAACATAAAATAAATGAAAATTGGTGCAAAGAATAATTACGAAAGTACATCAGGTCACCTAAGACTGAAAGAATCAGATCTCTTTGCAGTCAAAAGCCCTTTCTCACAGAATCCTCTGTTTGAAGACTTATCTAGGCCCCGCCCTACTTGTTCATCCCCTCTGAGGTCATACGGCCTCAGTTGCCTCCTAGTTCGGCATGTCTACCTGCTACTCACTAGCTTCTGAGAACGTGCTGTGGTCCTTGGACATCCCACCTATTTTCCCTGAGTTTACAAGATGAAAATGCATACTAAGTTTCAACATTACTTTTTTTTTTAATCACCAAGGAGTTTAAGCGTGAAGTGGTTATGATACAAAATGTGCTTGCTTATTTGCTTCCTTATTATATATGTCTCTACTTTTATCTCTTTTTTCTGAGTCTGATGATGGTTTCCTAAATTTTAAGTCTTTGTCTATTCTTGTCTTGATGATTGCTCTTTTGTACTCTCCTCCCCCACTCCTGGACAGCTATTTCCTTTCTTTCTCCTCCGTCTTTTATCCTCAACAGTCTAACTCAATTCCTGCTTTGTTTATGTAGCTTTACTTAAGGACTCAAGTCCTTTGCAGCCTCTTTTCTCTGAACTCTTGTAGTGGTTGTATTTGGTATGAAAAATCACATTTGGCATGCCATTACTCACTTTCTAGAATTAGGAGTTAACTTTTCGCTTGTATATATCTTGTCTCCACAGCTAGACTGGAAACTCTTCAAGTTCAAGTTCAAATTCCTTGCCTTTTTTCACAACTGCTAGCTAGCATAACGCTGTGTACATAGAAATCACCCCCATAAAAAACTGGATACAGTGGGTCATTTCAGGTGAACCTCTAGCCTCAATTTAAAACTGGAGGCCTTGTTTTGCCAGTGGAACCATGGAACATAGTAACCTTCATTCATTCATGCAACAAACACTCTAAACATTTTCTATGTGCTAGGGACAGTGGTAATTACAGGAATGTAACAATGAACAATACATGATCCTTGACTTCAAGCAGGTTACAGTGTTGCCCTCAGACCCATCACATTATTTGCATGCACATTGCACATACATTCCTTCATGTGCTGATACACACATGCACTCACACACCATTTCATGAGGATCTTGCCCTCCTCCCTCTATTTAATCATCTTTCAGCATATTAGTCACTAGTGGTTGTTTTTCCAGCAACAAATTATAGTAGGCAATGGAAGGGGTAAAATCTATCATAACATGGAGTAAAGGAAGATAAAGAAAGATACTGGTAACATCAAAACACCAGCATTGTTAACGGTGTCTTTATAGTCCAAAGACTGAATTACCAAGTTTATATCATTTGGAGGAGGACTGACTCATAGCCTCACCAGGATAGCTAGCTGACTGTTATATTTGTAAACTCTAATAAAAAAGAGGGAAGAATGAAATTATGTCAACTCATATTTTTAACATCGCCTGTGTTTCTAGCAATTGCCATCTAGGTTGGCTTGGGATGTTTTGACCATTATTTAAATGTTCAAAATGCAGCCTTTACAGAGTAAGAAATAAAAATAGTATCAGGAACCTTATATGAATTGGCATTTTTGTGCACTTGGGTGGGTAGCATTCATAAGGAAATGCTGAAGATCTAAGAGACTAGTGCCTATTAGACAGGCACATGGAGCACAGAGCTCTTGAAAGTCATCCATTTGAACAAAAGACTTGAGCAAGATTGATCTTGTAAGTATTTAAATGAATTTTTCACCCATTTTTGTGGTGCATTTTACATGCTAATGTACTTCTCTTTTCCTCTTCTATATAACTTTTCTGTAATAAGAGCACTATTTGCAGCTGACCTGATAAAATGACCTTTTAAATATCTTAGGAGCATATCTGATCCAAGTACGATGTTAAACTTGTGAAGCAGAAACATAAAATGTGCCAAAAGGGTAAGACTAATAGCCCCCATGATGATTTCTTATTTCAAATCTTGTTTAAGAAAATTTTGTAAAGTTACTGAGATTTAAAGGCACAAGAGAAAAATATGCACCATGCCCCCTATACTGTCCTATTTCTGAAACAGACTGGGCTCTGAA